AGCAACCAGAGAGTGTCATCAAGGCCAAGTGGGTGTTTAACTGGAAGTCTGATGAGTATGGATGGCCGACTAGTGTGAAATCACGGCTTGTAGCGAGAGGAGATATGCAGCGAGTACATGTAGATTGTAGAGAGACGTATGCACCGCGGTTTCTAGCGTTCGCTTGTTGGCAGCGATGGCATGTGAGCAAAATCTTTCTCTTCGTCATTTTGACATCAAGCAAGCATTTGTCCAGTCGGATTTGGATGAGGATGTTTTCATGCGTCTGCCAGAGGGATGTGGTAGATTGTCAGGCATGATAGTGAAGTTGAACAAGAGTCTGTAAAGCCTCAAGCAGGCATCAAGGCAATGGCATTCACATTTGGCGAGGTGTTTGATTTGTTTGGGTTTTATTCAGTGTCAGGCGGATACGTGTGTGTTTCGGTTGATCGAGGAGGGAAGAGTGGCAGTGACTCTGGTAGTACATGTGGATGACATATTTTCGATTGGAGAGGAGGAGAGGTGTGACCAATTTGGTAGGGAACTCAACACCATGGTACGGNTCGAGGAGGGAAGAGTGGCAGTGACTCTGGTAGTACATGTGGATGACATATTTTCGATTGGAGAGGAGGAGAGGTGTGACCAATTTGGTAGGGACCTCAACACCATGGTACCTGTGAATAATCTTGGTGACTTGAGGTGGTACTCTGGATGTTTTTATGAGAGGGATTGGGATGCAGGGACTTTGAAGATCTCGCAGCAGACGTACGCTGAAGAGTTGGGGATGGAGTTTGGGGTAGAATACGGGAAGGAAATTCCTCTTCCTGTAGGGTTGGTGCTTTCAGAGTTTGACCAGGATGAGGAAGTGGTATCATGGCCGTTTCGCGAGCTGATAGGATCACTGGTGTGGCTGGCAACACAAACGAGGCCAGATATCGCGAATGCATTAAGAGCGGTAGCACGGTACTGTGCTTCTCCCAAAGAAATTCATTGGAGAGCAGGTCTTGGTATTTTGGGGTATGTAGTAAGGACTAGTGACTTGGGAATTACGTTCGGGAGGGGTAGTGTAGCAATGTTGAGCATGGAGGTGTTCGGAGACGCAGACTATGCAAGCAAGGCTGCCGATAGGAGGTCTGTGTCAGGGGGATTGGTGATGTGTGGGGGGGGATGTATTTCTTGGTTTTCAAGGACGCAGAAGTGCGTTACGTTGAGCACGACGGAGGCGGAGTATGTCTCCGTTGCGGATGTGATGAAGGAACTGTTGTTTCTGAGGAAGGTATGGCGTTTCATGTTGCCAGAAGCAGGTATGCCGTGTATTCCGGTGTTCGAGGATAACCAGAGGGCTCTTCAGTTGGCGCAGAACCCGATTAGCAACAGTAACTCGAAGCACATCGACGTAAGGCACCACTCTATCAGGGAACTGGTAGGCAGGGAGGAGATTTCGATTTTTCACGTGGAATCAGCGTATCAACATGCTGACTTCCTCACGAAGGCACTTCACGTCGGAGATTTTGAATTTCATCGTAATTTCGTGATGAATGTGGGACAGGAACGGTAGAGTTGGATTTATTTGTGTTTGATCAAAGAACTAGGGTGGCATTGATTTACATTTTTGCCAATGGTCTTCTCAATGAATGGTGCTCTAGGATGGGGGGCAATTGGATCGCTATGATTATCGAAGAACTACAACTGGAATGATCGGGGATGGAAATATATTTCTAGCCCAGAAGGCTATGTTGCAGATATGAGTTGTGATTTGTATTATTTTTTGTGTTTTGGAGTTACTGAACGATCATGAAGACATGGCATAGTCACAAGCAGGGGGGCTGATAGATATACTTGTAGCAATGCCAAGTGGTTGGTGCTGGATGTTCCATGGAATGAGGTAGAGCGGAATACCGGGTGACATGTGTCNACAACTGGAATGATCGGGGATGGAAATATATTTCTAGCCCAGAAGGCTATGTTGCAGATATGAGTTGTGATTTGTATTATTTTTTGTGTTTTGGAGTTACTGAACGATCATGAAGACATGGCATAGTCACAAGCAGGGGGGCTGATAGATATACTTGTAGCAATGCCAAGTGGTTGGTGCTGGATGTTCCATGGAATGAGGTAGAGCGGAATACCGGGTGACATGTGTCGTACGTAGAATGGATTCCAGGGATGTACAAGGTACCCCTGTTGTATACGGCGTCGCCCCCTCAACTGGGCTTGTGTGTGTATATGTGGATGCAACTAATCACAACAAGCTATTCTCCTCGGCGTCAGCTCGCCGAGTTGCCGATACCCTATTCAACATACGTCTTGCGACAAGCTACCCACGGTTCGGATTATCCTAACAAAACGCATCACTGCAAACGTGTGCTGTCCTGCAACATCTGCAACGGAGTATGGAAGTTTGCACGCATAGTGGCTAGACTACTGCTGTAAAAAAAACTCGACTATCTACGTCTACACACTCATGGGTTGTGCTGCTGCTGTGTGTTTCCGAACTTGCAGACGAACTGCGTGGCTTTCGCGCGCGACACCAAGTACAAAGACCTGAAGAAGGAGCTCACTGGAAAAATCAAGAAGAACATCTCATGGTGAAGGGGAATGCGACCCGAACGGAGAGCCCAAGGCTCTTCGCGTCCGGAGAGGCAAACGAAGGTGGCAGAAAACCGCAAGTATGACTTTGAAGTGTTCGCAGCACCAGTGCGAAACGAGGTAAACTACAAAGAGGGGTTTTCATGATGACACGTGTACACAGGATCGCTACTTTCCCATTTAGAAGGCAACGAAATCACGATGGGTGAACAACGAGAGTGGTATACAAAGAACATTCCATCTTTGACAAACACAAGTGTCACCACGGATGAACCCATTCTGCCCTCCCCATCCAAATGAGATTGTTCGCCTTTCAGCTTCAAGCTGTTATCAACGACAAGAAGTTCTCCGAGCAGGTTGGGACTACGGCCGACGACGAGGCCAAGACACCCCTGGCCACGTCCCCGCTCACTTCGCCGACTTCTGAGGACTGCGTGAGCTATGTGCTTTCCCTTACCACAGACATTCGAGCTCTTACAGGCGGAAACGCTCTTCGTCAACGGCCAGAAAGCTGTTGTACGGGTGATGCCACCATACTCCGGTGTCTACAAGCAGAATTACTGACAGAGTAATCCCAAGTTGGAGTGAGCCGCCCAAAGACAAGTTCTTTGTCGCGTGCCTCGTTTCTCTACCTAAGCAAGTGTGCGTAGCATAGATGAACACTGCTGTTTATTGAAACCGTCGAATTGAAACCGACAACATTATTAGACAACGAGAGGTCAATTCCAGGGTGGGGATTGGGGACGAGTTCCGCGGTTGCGTGTAAGCTTCAGCTGGCTTTTTGTGTAAGCTTCAGCTGGCTTATTGTGTGTGTTGCTCATCGGAGCAGGGCTTGTACGGGAGAAGGCTAGTGGCATGCCATCGGGGTACAGAACACACGGCGGAGCCTTTGGCAATTTTGTCTGGTCATGCGACGCTGCCCGATTCCGGACCACTATCCTCGTTTTGTAGCGGTCGTGAAGCCAGAGTGTTGAGGCATAGTTAGGCTCTGCGAGCCTATTCAGAGACGTTGCCTTGCACTCGCTTCAGGGTGGCAGGACGCCCACCCTTGTGGTTGAGGGTTTTGGAACGAGGAGTCAGATGCGTAAAAGCCATATGAGTAGCTGGGAGGATTCGCGACCTGTGAGTTAGTTGTGTTTTAGGCGATAGGAAAAAGGAGCGGTGAGACAGCAGGGGGAAACATAGTATGGGGTAGTTGAACGAAGACACTGCTGTTCTACTGCGACGAGACTCTCATGACGACCTCAGGTCGGGTACAATGAATGGCAGAGTACCTATTGGGGACTTGTATGTCAGAGGTGTCACGTACAGTAGGAAGAAATCCCCACGCCGTGGAAAGGGAATCCCCAAGCTTTTTCCTTAGCGAAGATGGAGAGACAGTGGCACTAATGGGACAGAGACATACGCGCAGAGAGCTTCTGCGGGGAACTTGTTCTGTCCGTGCGGTGTCTCTTTCTCCTCCCCTCGCGGTAAGGGAATCAATAATGCAAACCTTAGCGAAGATGGAGAGACAGTGGCACTAATGGGACAGAGACAAACGCGCAGAGAGCTTCTGCGGGGAACTTTTCTGTCAGCGCGGTGTCTCTTTCTCCTCCCCTCCCGGTAAGGGAATCAATAATGCAAATTGGCGTCCATCGAGAGAAAAACAACAAAACCATAGATGAGATCCCCCATGTAGCCAACATGGTCTTCCCGCCTTTTGGTGAAACCGCCACAGGCGTACTTCAAACCTCCAACATCCCCAGCAACACAATACCAACAACAACAACTACAACACCGACAATCACAGGCAGTACCTCCAATAAGTCTAACAACAACAGCAACACCAACACCAACCATGATTGGACTCTCATCCACGACAGAGGTGATGGTGCATGCCTGCGATGCATATCACGCCATATTCACGGAACTCCCACCAGTCACCACACATTGCCACAAAATGTCACAAACGATGCGACACACTCAATTTCCCGACGAACACACTCCAGCCGCAGCTTTTCATTTTGCAATAACATACAACGACGAAATACTATGTCAACATGGCCGTCCCCCAATACAGTATTGATCCATTCCACATTATCTTCGACTATGTCTCACCCACATGCCTACACCACGTTCATAGAAATGTCACGGTTCCCGTTTTTTACCCACGGAGACTGTTATGGAAATGCCTACGCATCTCGTGTATTCGTCAACGTATGACGTATGTGTTATCTATGTATCGGTATGGATGTAACGTATGCGGAGGAACTAAGAGCTGCACGTAGTCTGTAGCTCGCTCTGTCGTTCGGTGCACGACCTCACTCTTTGGGATCTCTCTCTGTGATCTATCGGACTGTCTGGCTTTAGCTGTCCTTGTCGTACCTTGGATGCTGCTGGCGTACTGCCTGGACTACAACCGTCTGTCGGGTGTATTTGTCTGTGTTGGCCACATAAGCGCCGGGTTTACAACATATCTCCATCTTCTGCACTGAAGCACTGCTGTGCTTCTGCTGCTACAAGCTCTACGAGCTATCACACCGACTAGCGTTGGTGGGCGTCAGCTTCTGCTGCTACGTGCTGGGGTACGCACACAATCCTCCGCCCCCGTTCCGGTGCCAAACACGTGTTTTATTCAATACGACAGCAGCAATTCCCATCACTGCCGAACAATGCATTACCAACATAGACTTTACCCCGACAGCGTTCTCTCCACTCACATCCATTCCCGCAGGCATGTCTTCGATGCAACAATGCACCGTCGACGACCTTCTCAGTAAAAATGAAGAGGACCTCGCCCATGGTCTCCTCGACGTTTACGAACAACACCTGGCGGACGAATAGACGTTTTTTCCAGACCTTCCTGTGGGAGTGGCACGACATCCGAAGTGCCTCAACGACCTATCTTGAAGGACCAACTTCTGACCTTCGTAGATTTCGAGCTTTGTGTCCCTTTCTGTCTCTTTCTGCAAAGAGTACCTGCTGAACATAGCGTTCAATAGTAGTTGCAACTGCACATAGAAACATGTCGTTGCCAAGTAAACATCGCGCACGCCGGGTGTAAAATGCTGCTGTACATAACGTTCAACTGTCGTCCAGCTGTACATAACGCTGCCGCATATATTGCGCCTTGGAATACCGCTTTCTTTCTACAATTTTTATTTGGAGGGCGTGATACGATTGGTCCACTAGACGAGAGGAGGGTGCACTACGTGTGTATCGGCGAAAAAAGCGGCTTTCAGTCATATTCGTGTAACCCCGGGTGGGGATAGTGCTGAGTATATGGACATGTTCAATGGTACATGGCGAAAAATGTCATAGCCTGGTTTGGTGTGTTGTTGTTTGTGTAATGATTTTGGAGTAAGACAAAGTAGCATCGTAACTCGCTTCGCTCGCAGACACACTTCACGGGGTTCCGGACGCGGTGCAGTGTGCGGTTACAGTGCCGTGTGGCTCGCTTCGCTCGAAGGCACTTGGCGAGGTTTCGGGCGCGGTGCAGTGTGCGGTCACAGTGTTGTGTGACTCGCTTCGCTCGAAGGCACTTCACGGGGTTCCGAGCGTCGTGCAGTGTGCGTCACAGGAGTGCCTGCCGTGTTGCTCGCATGTACTCAAAGGCAGTTTGTCCGCAGCAGCGTCATGTTCCCCCTTTCGAGGAGTTCCTTATTATGTGCTTCGTCAAACACCGGTGTGCCTCTCCTCTCCTTCTATTGCACAAGGTGAATAATTGTTCGACCGTTCAGCAAGTGCATACTCCCCCTCGACACGTGTTGCCCCACCTAAACCGTTGTACAGAACTCCAGGCCACACACCCGCCCACCCGTCTGGGGCGTAGTATGACCGTCTTTCGTCCCACAGCGTAGCGTACGCAACTCCCCTACCCCTCACGTTAACCGTAACAGTGGCCGGTGCCTTTTGTCGCATGTCGGCTGGAGCGTTGATGGCATCGATGGGCGGTTGGAACGCCTCCTTGAGGAACTCTCTTGCTAACTCTCTGTCCTGCAAGACATCGTCTGGTAACACGAGGAACAGGCCGTCTAGAGTTTTCCCCCTGGACACGGCGGTATACCCCTGACCCTGGGCGAAGAACCCTCTAGAGGGAATCCACACGGCCACCCTTTCGAACCCTACCCCTTGCACTCTGTGTACGGTCATGCAAGCAGCGACCATGAAAGGCCACTGCTTAACGATGTACGTGCCGCTGACCGCTACCCCTCTGCAGTAAGGCACCCATACCATTTTGTCCTCGAAGGGCTGTATTTTGACAGTGCTCTCCCTCCCCTTGCCACTCGTAAGCTCAACCTCGACCCACGCTGGGCGCTTATGGTAGAGTATGCAGTTGTCCCGTGCCCCAGCAGCAGTTTGTGGAGAGTCAGAGGGTGGTGAATTCGAGCACAAGACAGAGAGACAGAGAAGGAGTACGAGCGAAGAGAGACGTACAGCAACTGCTGTGATGACGATTCAGTATGTGATGCGTGCGCGCATGATGTGTGGTTGTACCTGTTGATGCACACGCTTTTGCTCCTCCATGGAGGAGGCGGTTGTACATCGACGCTGCTCTGCGGTTCGTAACCGAGAAGGAGCACAGCAGGTGAGAGCTGCTACGAACGCAAGAGTGGTTGCTACGCGGGCATCCACGTGGTACTGCTGTATAGCTCATGGCATAGCAATCGTCTGCGCTAGTTACAGTAGCAGACATGCAGCCCAGCAGCAACAGATGGGTCACCTGCTGCGTTTCAATGTTTCTATGCAAGACTTAGTGCTGTGCCTGCTGGATGTACTGAATGCTGGTGTGAAGTAGTTTTGCGTTTTGGTTTTCCGGGGACGCGCCTCCCGCAGCCCAGGGCACAAAGAAGTGAGGCTAAGCCAGATATATGTCC